ATGATTCCCTATGGGCAAGTAATCCCCATGATTCCCTATGGGCATGTATTCCCCATGATTCCCTATGAGCATGTATACCCCATGATTCCCTATAGGCAAGCAATCCCCATGATTCACTATGGGCAAGTAATCCCCATGATTCCCTATGGGCAAGTATTCCCCATGATTTCCTATGAGCATGTATTCCCCATGATATCCTATGGGCAAGTATTCTCCACTAATTTTCTGTGGGCAAGTATGGTTTCTCTATAGGGAAGTAATGTCCTTTGTTTTAGTACTTGCTGTTTTCTTGCCTATATTTGTTCAGAGAGGAAACATGCAGGGGGAGCTGTGTTGGCCATTTAGCAAATTTCAACCAAAAAATCCACCAAACAGCAGATACCTTTATTGGCCAACCAAAATGTGCAATATACTTGTGGCAAGCTTTTGAAGCTCCGCAGAACTTCGAAAGCTTGCCACAAGTATATTGCGCATTTTGGTTGGCCAATAAATGTATCCCTGTTTGGTGGATTTATGTTCAGAGAGGGTTTGCTCTTGCCATCCTTAGAGACTGAGAGAGTGTGACTTGCCCAAGGTCACCCAGTGGGTTTCTATGGTCGAGCCTGGATTCGAACCCTGGTGCCACAGTCCAATGCTCACACCACTGGGCGATGCTGTAAAGGGGGCTAAAATAAACACACACACACACCCTACACACATCTCACTTTTGTCTTTTCTCCCTTTGGAGCACTCTCCTAGTCCTCGGCATTAAAAACTTTTTGAGTCCCTCAAGGCTGGTTGGGAGAGCCTATGTGATGTAATGGAAACCAGGGTTCGAATTCTCGCTCGGCCATGGAAACTCACTGAATTACTTGGACAAGTCACACTCTCTCAGCCTGAGGGGATGGCAAGGGCAACCCTCCACAAGAAACCTGCCAAGGAAACCGCACGATAGGATCTCCAGAAGTTGACCTGAAGAAGGGTTGAATTGGGTCAAACCAGGGATCTGACTTGGGCCAGGAGGCAAGGCAGCCTGGGTTCTCCCCTAGGGAGGGTGGCTCTCGAACGTGGGACTGTGCTGCTCATGTGTTGACTTCCACAGTCCTTTGGAAGAGGAGACTGAATGGGGTGAATGGAAATGCCTAATCTCCTTTCCTACTTTTGGCCAATAGCGTGACAAGTTTGAGGATGACAAAATTCAAAGATCTAGCTGTGTTACTCTAGAAAACCAGCTTCAGTCTGCCAAGGGATCTTGTGGCACCTTTGAGACTAAATGAAAGAATAAAGCTGGGATTATGAGCTTTCCTAGACTTGAGCCTCAGATGCATCTGAAGAAATGGTCTCAAGTCTAGGAAAGCTCTCATGCTGCCAACTTCTTTCATTCAGTTAGTCTCAAAGGTGCTATAAGATTCCCTTGGCAGACTGAAGCTCAAGGATGCTTCTGACATATATTTAAAATACCTTAAAAGCAACACTGTGTTGTATTAACCCAGCCATTGTTCATTTATAAAAGTGTGGCAGCTTATCTACTGGGCTTCTGTTGGGCTTCTATAGTGCCAGCTCCTCCAGCACCAGACACACATTTTTTCTTGGTTCTCTCTCTCTTTCTCTCTCTCTCTCTCTCTCTCTCTCTCTCTCTCTCTCTCTATATATATATATATATTATATATATATATAATCCTTTGCCCCAGTTTCAGTGTAGTTGGCTGAGGTCCTGAACCTCCAATCCACTTCCTTGTGTGAGCCTTATTTCCAGTATTACTGTATATGCAGGAGTCCTCCTCTGTCTACAACCATTTTCTCCACATACCGGACATAATGATTTATTTTACTTATTTTTATTTACTTTGCATGTATTCGGCTTTTCTCCCCAAGTTAAGACCCAAGGCAACTTCCAGAAAGAGTCAATTAAAAAAGCCTCAACCACTAAAAGAGAAAGCCTTCTCTTGTAGATTTTAGAGGTCCGGCACATTTGTATTGGGGGGAGGGGGATATGGTCTTTCAAATAGTCTGGACTTAAGCCATATAAAGTTTTATAGGTCTTAACTAGGGGGGTTGCAGACTGCTAGAAATAGTGCAAATTGAGTCCACTTTTAGGGTTAGGGTTAGGGAATCATGGGAACTGTAGTTTATTGTGGCACTAGAGCTCTCTGACAGAGAAGGCTCAATGTCTCAGGAAAAAAAAACAATTCCCATGATTCCATAGCACTAACCCTAACCCTAAAAGTGGACTCAATTTGCACTATTTCTGGCAGTCTGCAAGCCCCCTAGCACTTTGAATTGGGCTTGGAAACAAACCAGTAGCCAGTGAAGCTGTTTTAACAAGATACAGTCAGCTGATTGAGACGATTGATTCAAGTATCCACAGATTGAAAATATTTATATGGAACATATAAATTCCAATAAGCAAACCTTGATTTTGCCATTTTATATAAAGGACACCATTTCACTACTCCACTGTATTTAATAAGACTTGAGCATCCACAGATTTTGATATCGATGGAGGGGTACTGGAAGCAAACCCCAGCAGATACCAAGGGCCCACTATATATGCTTCCTATATCTAGCCCTGGTCAGCATGTTATAAATGTCATATCATACCCCTCTACCCACTGTCTCCCTCTAGCAAAAATTTTAGTTCTTTAATACTTATAGGAAGGTGTGCCACCATTTTAAGGATTGTCTTTGGCTTATTGGTGTGTAATTCTCTGTTATACACTGTTATACACATACTGGGGGGTAAGGGAGTGTTGTGTGTGACTAGAATCATACACAGCATTCTCAGGCAAGCTTGATCGCAAGGCATTATGTCCTTTTAATTTTTGAGATTTTTCCTATTACAGTAATTCCTAATGTGGGCTTTGCAAATATGAAGAGCATTTTTCATTTTGCTTTCCACCACAACACAAGATACCGTTTCCCATTTGTAACCACTACCTGCCTGAATGGCATGCAGAGGGCACAGCTAGAGGGGTGGGGAGGGAGCTGAAATTGTTTTGATTTGGTAGAATGAGATTCTTGCAAAAGTTCAAAATGAATGGGGACTTTCTGATTTTGATGCCACATACCCCTTGTGATACCCCTATTCCTGAAAACAGTTATTATTCCAATAGGCTTTCAGCATTCCTGGCACTATCTAGGAGTGGCAGTTCTAGTTTTAAGGTCCAACAAGGCAGGTTCTATCCAATTCACTCCCCACCCTGTGGAAACCTAAATATAGAAACTGGAAATGTCTGTCCAGACACTTCTGGTTTCTCCCCCATCTCCAACAGGTTCCAGTAAGCCCTCTATTAAGAGCTTGCAGTGAATGTTTACCTCCAGTCTCACCAAAGATGCCTATTTCTGCTGTAAATGGAAGAGGAAAGCTTTAGTACAAGCAATCCTTCGACAACCAATCTGACAGCAACTATGTATTTTCTTTTGTAGCAGGAAACCAAATTAGAAAATTGGTGTGGATTGGTGAGTGTTATACTCTGCAAAGTCATGAAACCAGAAGAAATCATTCAGCGCATGGGCATAGGAAATCTATGGTGTCGTGTTAAAAACGCAGTAAAGCAGCATGGTAAGAAAAACAATATTCAAGATCTTACTGAAGAAGAGGCAAAAATTGCAGAAGAAGCCAAACAGGGGGCTCTGGAGATCCTGGAAGATGCTCTGAAGAAAAAAGACAAGGTGCTGATGAAGCTACCTGAGAGAATTGTCCTTCAGCGGGAAGAGCGAGAAGACTTTTGGATGGAGCGTCATGCCATCTTGACAGAAGACAAAGTTAAAAAGCTCATTGCAGAACTCAAAAAGGTACGCTTTAAGAAGAATACTAGCAGGAACATTTGTGCTGCATATGTCTTGTTGTTTGCACATGGTATGGGAAGAACCATCTACTTGTGTGATCCATTCTGGAAGACGCAAAAGTATCTTGGAAAATTTTCCCAGCCAGGCATTCTCATTCATGAAGTGTCCCATCTCTTGGATGCTAAAGACATCACCTATGAAGAGAACACCTTCTCTGTTGGGTGCAAAGGCTCCCTCATAAAAAACAGTCCAGCACAAAGTTCAGCTCTTTCTGATGAGGAAGACTGGGAGGGAGCCCTTAGGAAAGCTTTCCTGAATGCTAGCAACATTGCGGATGAGTTTGAGATCACTCTCAACCACAGAGGAAATTATGTGGATGGCAGATACACTTGCTGTGGGGAAACAAAAAGATACTCTGTGTGTGAGTCTTCTGTCCCTGACTACTTCCATACTTGTGATGCTGATGAAATGTAAGTACGTCTTTATCCTTGAAGGGTCAGCTTGTAAACCTATAATCCAGAAACCTTGTACATGCTCTCTTACACAAGCACACATGTACATAGTCCCTACAACCATGGGGTCAGCAACTGACTTTCCCTCCCTCCCTCTGGTTCTCTCCCATTTCCCCATCCAGCCCATCTGTGTTTCTCTTAGGCCCAATTCAGTATTCAGCACTCAAGAATGGCAGCCTCTCTCTGGCAATGAAAAGGGGAAAAAAGGTCAGCATTAGGTTTAGTCCTACTGGGTAATAGGGTAGGCACCACTAATATAGTGGTTAATTTTTTGGGGGGGGGGTTTATAGCACTACTTCCATGGAGAGCCCCAAAAGTCATCCAGATGTACTGATTTAAAATGCTTTCTAAGAGATTACATCTTCTGCAGGAGCAGGACTTTTGTAATGCTAGTAGATCTTGCCAACTCAAGACCAAGCCAGTCTAAGATACTTTGGATTCCAATAGAGCCAGTGTGGCATAGTGGTTTGAGCATTGGACTATGACTCTGGAGACCAGGGTTTAATTCTCAGCTGGGTCATGAAATTCTCCGGATGAATTTGGGCAAGTCACATGCTCTCAGGCTCATGGAAAGGCAATAGCAAACCTCTGAACATATCTTGCCAGGAAAAAACCAGGATAGGGTTGCCTTAGGGTAGCCATAAATTGAAAATGACTTGAATACAACACAGGGATTGCTCATGATTACATGTTGTTGCTGGGAAGATCCATTTACTCACCACCAACTATGGGGCTCTCAGTTAAACTCAGAGGGAATTGGAGAGTGCCAAGTGGGGTTGCAGATGTCATTGCTCCTACTAATTGAAAACATCATTGGGCTTTTGATGCTCTGAACTCTAACTTAACTACAGTACTGGGGTCTCCAAACTCTTACAGGAACCATGTCCCCTCATACTGGAGCAAATTATGTTAGTGGCCACTTTTGCTACCTCCTGCCTCTAAAATGCACTGACTAAGGGGGGTTGCAGACTGCCAGAAATAGTGCAAATTGAGTCTACTTTTAGGGTTAGGGAATCATGGGAACTGTAGTTTATTGTGTCACCAGAGCTCTCTGACAAAGAAGGCTCAATGTCTCAGGAAAAAAACAATTCCCATGATTCCCTAGCACTAACCCTAACCCTAAAAGTGGGCTCAATTTGCACTATTTCTGGCAGTCTGCAACCCCCCTAAGCTTGCTGGAAGAATTGCTCATGGTAGGGTAAAGAAATGCTTTCTGTTGCTGCCCAGTGCCTCTGAGCTCCTCTTCAGAATGAATTAAGGGCTAAGAGCCCTCTCAGCCACCTTTCCACCTGCACCTGGGTTTTTAACACCCAAAGGCCAAAAATTTGCTTATGGGGATTCTCATAGATTTGGAGTTGTTGCCTTGTTTCACCCTCCTATGGACTTGTGAGGTCCCCCAGAAATGTGCTAGATGTCACACTGAGGACAGAAGCAAATGGGATTGGTGGAGGGGGAAGAGAGGTAGGTGTGTGTGCATGCATTTTGTTGTTGTTTGCCAGATTTCAGAGTCCAGAACCTCTTCTCCAGGGTGAGAGCATGGCCTTAAAATGTCTGGTTATACAAATTGTCATCATTTCTTAGATTTGATATTTTTATTTTAATGGGTTCCCTTGTACAGCTGTGGATGGTGCTTAATGAAATCATTAGGAGCTGTCCTGTGTTACATTACTGTAATACCACTAGAACCCCTCCCTTCTTTTGACAGCCACACGCATGGCCTGCATCACCCCATTTAAGCCTAATTTGGTCAGCTTGCCCACCACCTTCCTTCCCTGCAGTCCTGAAGGAGCTCACACCTGTTGCCTTTTCTGCAAGCAGGAGGAGGAAAATGAGGAGGAATTGGGGGGGTGATATGTGGGGTAGGATAGAATAGTATGCAAGGGTAGCAGCAGGATGAGGGCTTGAAGAGCAACAGAGGGACAGACTTTGGGAGAGGCATGTAACTGTATGTGTTGGGCACCACCCCATTTCCATGATCTGTATGGATTGCTCACAGAAATGTATTCCGGGGTAGTCATGTTGGCCATACAGCAAAGTACAATAACATCCAAAATCCACATAACAGTGATACCTGTCCTGTATTGTGGATTTTGGATGCTATTGTACTTCACAGAAATGTGTTAAGATTTATAATCTGCTTTGAGATGTGGAGCATTACTCATGAACAAGGAAGCTTTCTCCACAAGGCTGCATGGAACTTACACTTAAGTTATGGATGTTAGGATTCCAGTCTTGCATTGAAATCCTGTAGTCTCTGTTCAAGGGTATGTGCTACTGAGTTCAGTGGGAGTTGCTGTTGTGCATGTCTGTAAAACTCATTGCAGCTTCTAAGTAGGCATGTATATGACAGTGCTGTCCCCATACAGTGAAATCCTATACATGTCTACCTAACAGAACTTGGTGTCAGGCAATGTACAGTGTGTTTACCTGGAAATAAGTTCCACTTAATTGAATAGTATTGACTTTGAAACAGACATGTGTACATTTCAGAGCTTGGAAAAGTTATTTTTTGGACTGTGCTGGTTAGGAGATTCTGGGAATTGTAATATAAAAGAAATGCTGTATTTCCAAGCCCTGATAGGACTTCATCTGTACTTCTGAATTTTCCATCATACTGCTGAGCCAGTCACAATTGTTTTGTACCTCTCTTTACATAGAGAAGGGAGCTCAATCATACCAGGTGGGCATCTCTGAATGAGAGAACCCATCCCCGATGTTATCTGGACTCAGTGGTTGATTAAGAAAGTGAAAATTGTTCCCTGTTGCCATTATGTGCCCTTGGGTGTTATGTCATTTCTTTGCTGAAATCACATACTGGCCTACTATGCTGTTGATGCAACATAAAATACATTCCTTCACCATTGGTTGTAATATGCAAGCCCTTTTTTCTGACCTTGTTGTGCAGGTGCCTCTGCCAGCCCTTTGCCACAGTTCCATTTCTGGAAAAGGAGATGTTTACCCTCCACTAATGGCCATGGCCTTTTGAAATTGCAGGAAGATCTCAAAATGTGCCATTATCTAAAAATCCATTTTGTCTCCATCCTAGGTGGGAAACAGTGATACTGCTGAAAGAATTACATCGAAGATCAAGGACCATATCACCCAAACTGAGACGAATCCGCAGACTTGTAGATGAAATGGATAAATGTTTAAGAAATTTTGAGATGGGTATTTCTATTACATTTGCTGGAGGAGCAGGAGCCATATTAGGATCATTGCTGGCTCCTGCAACAGGTGGACTTTTTGCCCTATGGATATTGATATTCTCTACAGCATTGCTTGGTTTGACTGAGGCTACCAGGGCTTCCTGTAAGATGCTCACCGAAGCAGCAAAGAAGGAAGTATATGCTATCTGTGATGAATACCAGCGTTTCCGAGATATCCAGAGACTCATAACAGTCCTAAATGGAAAAAAACGCCGCAAAGATTGTCAGGCTGACTTCTACGCTTTCCTAGACATCTTAATTCTAAGACAGAGCCGTGTTCGTCTGGAATAGCAGTACACAAAGGGATCTTGTAACACCTTTGAGGCTAACTGAAATAAAGAAGTTATTAGCATGAGCTTTCATAGACTTGAATGTACTTGATCCTACACATCATAAGTAAGGAAAAGAATGTAGGGAATACGATGAGCAGAAAATGTCTATGCTATTGATTTAGCTCCCAATGTGCCCTAGAAAACAGATGGAATACTTTATAGGAAGGGGTTAACGCATTAAGTTATTCAGTTAGAAGCTAAAAGTTATATTTAAGTGAGGGGATATTTTTAAATAAGTTAATTTTAATATGGCCTTTGAATTTAGGTTGCTTTAGTATACTAAAAGCCATACCATAATAAAGGTGAAAAAATCTTATCCATTATTTTATTCCTTTCCATTTCCACCCAACTTCTGTTTTGAGTTTGGGAGAGAACGAAATGGTTGCATGAATTTTTGAAAAGTCCAGTTTCTCACATACCACACCACAAACTCTTCTCTTGCTTTCCTTCTCCTTCTATTTTATAATTTCTCTCCCATTTTCTTGCTGATTCCCATATGGACCCACTAAAAACCTCATAGTTAAGAACTGCAGAATTCATTTTCCTGGGACAGATGAGGATCTCCTGTATAGTCCTGCATAGAACAAAGGAGAATACACAGAAGGCAATCCTGTCCCCCTTCCAAGCTGACCTTACTTCTTGCGAACTAAACATATTTCCCCAACCCTCAAAAAAGAATAAGTGACAGGCTATTTTGTAATAATTTAAGCCAACTAATAAAAAGCAACAACCAGGTAATGTAGTATGATTTGGTTTTCCAGCATTATGATACAATTAAACATTGGAGAAACATTGATGAAATTCCAGTTAAGTTTATCACTTGTTTAAAAGCTTATTAAATTGTCCCTTTCCATTAGTGAATGTCCCAACTTACAGTTTTAATTCATAGATTCCTATCGCGGCATATAGAGTTGTTTTTTTCAGGAGTAAAGGTAACCATATTTAGCCAACTTGTTAAATGCACAGAATAACTTTGTGGTATTGCCTTACAAATATTACTTTATATTGTTTTATATGGTTTATTACCAGTAATATTGAATTTTTGTTGTTGATTGTTGTTAACCACCTTTGAGTCGAGTTCATCCATCTAGCCTACATCCCTCCACCTTTCCTAGCATTGTTGTCTTTTCCAGTAAGTCCAGCCTTCTCATGTGGCCAAAGTACGACAAACTCAACTTTTTTATCATCTTTGTTTCCAGAGAGATTTCAGGCTTGATTTGTTCAAGGGCCCATTTGTTTGTCTTTTTTAGGGAGGTCCATGGTATCCTTGGCAATCCATGGGAGGTTAGTGTGGTCCCCCTCCCTGCTCTCTTTCCATAGGTAGTCAAAGACCTTTTTTAAAAATCAGGCTTTTGGTGGTCAAGCAGAAAAGGTTTTTATTTATTTATGTGTTGCATTTGTTTTTAACTTTTGTATGACTTTTAAATGATTTTATGGTGTTTAATGTGGGGATTTTTAATTGATTTTTAAAAAATTATTGCAAGCATTTTTAATTTACTATTTTTGGAAGTTGCCTTGGACCCCATCTTGAAAGAAACGTAGAATATAAATGAAGTTTTTTTAAAAAATAAATCTGTCTTCTGTATATTTTGCACATTATCATATTCACATTCTTTGTTTTTCTGTTTGGCATTTGGAATGTGGTTGAAAAGCACTGCTACCTTAATATCTAAGAGGAATGTTGAACTACAGCAGGAGCTGGCAACCTGTCACCACCGCCATGCGTTTTGGTCGCCGTGCGGCCGTGTGCGCTGTGACCGCCATTTTGATTTCCAAAATGGCAGCTGTGGCATGTTTGCGCATGTGCAGGAGTACTGCGCATGTGCAAATGAGTCACGGCCACCATTTTGGAAAACAAAATGGTGGTTGCGAGTGGCGGCCGCCATTTTGGAGAACAAAATGGTGGCCGCGACACGCACGGAGGCGGTTACAGCAGTGTGCGCAGTGGTGGCAGCACGCGTGGGGGGGTCACATGCAGCGGG